CAGTAGTTTATAAGAATTCCAAGAAACTGCTATTTAGCTAAGTAAAATTGATGCAAAAAATAAAAAAACAAATCAACGCCATGCACAATTTAAATGGTGATATTAACACTTCAGGTACAGAGGTAAGCAATATTTAAAATTCATATTTTAAATCTGTTTTTGTTAACGAAGACCTTGTTTTTCAGATGTCGTAATTTAGGAATAATCCTAATGTTGTTTTATTTGGCAACCCAAATGACTTTTTTTTAGAGTCTGGGACGACGCCCTACTTGGTTACTGGTAATATCTGATATTATATCATTATTAAACAATAAAAGGGCCATCCATAAAGGACGTCACCATTTTTTAGCCAATTTTTGACCCCATCCCCTCTCCCTTTTTATCACCGCTTGTCTTTTTTCCCTATTCCCCCTGGAAAAGAATTTCATTAAATCCTGACAACCCTTCCTATTTTTAACTCCAATACAATTTATTTTATCTTGCAATGATGTTTGAATCTGCTGCTACACCTTTAAAAAAATAAAATTAAAAATATTTTCATACATTAGTTTCTCAAAAACACATGTTTAGGTAGTTTTCCATGTTAATTAAACTAAAATAAAAAATCTATAAAGTGACGTCCTTTTCTGACAACATCCCCTCCTCCCCTTGTCCTTTTTTGTCCTTTATAACTATACCTCCTCACCCCCCCCCACCCTATTTAGATAACGTCCTTTATGGATGGCTCCAAACAAAATTTAAAAGTTATTATTTATTATTAATGACGTGATGCGTTATTAGGATTTATATAGCGACCGAACTTATGAGATGGTATTGAATGTTCGGTCAAAGTAGATGTTCTCATTTGAAATTAAATATTGAGTAGTAGTTTTAATTTTTCATTTTTTTATTTTTACAATATCGATTATCAATATAATTTTCTTTATGCTCCTGAAGGCTTTTTTATAGCATAAAAAAGTGACTCTTTTAAAAAATTGTAAGGTAAAAAAAATAACCTGAAACTAAACATTTTTTACCGAAATTTTAATCTATTTGTGGAAAAGAAGGACATACACACACACACACACTCACACACACACACACACACACAAATATATATATATATATATATATATATATATATATATATATATATATATATATATATATATATATATATATATATATATATATATATGTATATATATATATATATATATATATATATATATATATATATATATATATATATATATATATATATATATATATATATATATATATATGTTTATATATATATATATATATATATATATATATATATATATATATATATATATATATATATATATATATATATATATATATATATATATATATATATATGTATATATATATATATATATATATATATATATATAAATAAACCATCAGTTTAGTTTTGGAGGCCCATGTTTATTTAGATAAAGTAATCCCAAGTCTAACCAAACTCGACCAATATAAAGCTCCAGGTGTAGACGGTGTGCACCTATGGGTTCTTAAAGAATGTGCCAGTACAATAGCATACCCTCTGACAAAAGTATTTCAAAGTTCACTCCAAGAAGGTTCCATCCCCAATGCATGGAAAATTGCTAACGTCACTCCCTTGCACAAAACCGGAAGTAGATTAAATCCGGCAAGCAAATTCCAGTCTCGCTCACATGTGTATCGTTCAAAGTCTTGGAACAAATCATCCGAGGCACGAGTTTTAAATCATTTATACAACAACCTAAGTGGTAAATTGCAAAACAACAGCACGGATTTATTAGGAATAATTCCTGTGTCGCCAACGTTTTGGAGTCAATAGATATTATTCCTTCATCATTGGTATATAAACATTGTGTTGATATAATTTTTCTTGACTTTGCCAAGACTTTTGACTCTAATCGAAAGCAGAGAGTTGTTCTTAGTAAGTGCAAATCCGGCTGGACAGATGGAACTTTATATAAACAATTTACCGTCAGTTATTAATTACTTCCCTTGTAACTTGTATGCAGATGACTTCGAAATTATTGCTCGAATTTAAGATGTTTCAGATTCAGACAAGCTACAGCTTGATTTGAGTGCTATTACTGAATGGTCTGAAAAATGGTACATGAAGCTGAACTAATAAAAATGAAAAGTGAATCATATGGGTAAAAACAACCCCCAAAATAATTGCTACATATTTAATGCAGCAACATCAACTACCATAAATTTTTTGAAATCTGAGAAAGGGCGTGATCTCGGCATTACGATTACGTTGAATAGCAAGTGGGATACACACGCTTCCGAAATTGCATCAAAAGCTTAAAACATATTAGGATGGATGAAAAATTCATTGATGAGCAGAGACAAAAAACTATGGAAAAAATTATACACAGTTTATATCAGACCAACATCGTGTATAAATTATTCAAAATAAGCAGTAAAACGCATTAAACGTCATCAAAAAAGAGCTAAAAAAGTGTCTGACAGTCTAAAAAAATTCTGCAATGAAGATCGTCTGCACCTCCTTAACTTAGACACTTTAACAACTAGAAGAACGCGTTTTGATTGCATTCAACATTTTAAAATTGAAAATAAAAAAATTGACAGAGCTAATTGGCATGTTTAACCATTGACAGCAAAACCTAAGTTTAGTAACTCAAAATTCGTAATTTACGACAATAATATTAAATAAAAAATTTATTATTGAAAAATCGTTTTTTGAATTTTATTGAGACGTTCTTGTGTCATAGATTTATTTTCAGTTTTTAGAAACTTCGCTCTCCTGAAGCAACGGAAACTGGAATTGTTAGAAAAAGTTTTAAACTCGCGGCGACATTTAGAAAAGACGTCTCCAAGTTGTATTTATATAAAAAATCTTTTTATCAAGGAAATTTGACTAAACGGATGAAAGTTGATTTGTATTACCTAGTTAACAAAGCTGTACTTAAATGGTTCAAACGTATGAGAGCTGATAATGCACCAATTAGTGGCTTGTTGGTAAAATAAAAAGCTTTATATTTTACCATAGAGTTATACTTCAAAAATTTTCAAGCTTTGGAACGATGGCTAGACTAATTTAAGAAAAAGCAAACTAATTTTTAGATAATTTGACAAAGGTTCTTAAAGATATAAATCATGTCTTTGACATGAATTTACTACCTCATAAAAAACAATCTACTATTACTGACTTTTTTTTCAAATTTAAAAGTTTAAAACACATATTGCTTTTAGGCCTTAGAACTACTATTTGCTTGTTTGTTTGACTCTAATTCAAACTTTTATTTTTGCCCATAAAATTCGAATCAGAGAGATTGTACTGTTTAAATATATAAATATAAAAATATAAAAAATATAAAAATATTTTTTCAAAAAATTAGTAGATAGTAAGTAATTCACTTATTTTATTATTATTTTTTTTGTTTATTTCTGATTAAATATTAATAAAATGTATATCAAAAATATTGTTTTTATTAAAACATAAAGAATTTAATAAAGAAATATCTTTATTAAATTATTAGTACTTACTTTTTAACGATGAACACTAGACATAGAAATGAGCTTTTGAGGTAAAATTAAAGAAATAGTATGGTATTAGCATTGAATTTACACATATAAATTCAATGGTATTAGTGTGGGTAACACATTCGCTGCAACTGGCTCCCACAGATAGGCGCCGCGGCGGCAGCATTCTTAGTGACATGTGCGCAAAAACAAAATAAGCAGTTTAATTAACGTAAAGAAAAAAATTAATATCTGCAAGAAAGTGGTGATACTTAAAATATAAGTAACGCATAAAAAAACATTCCTGTATATGAAAAAATATATAACAAAACTTAAAATGATATGAATTCGCAGTTTTATACTAAATTTTTACATTTTACGGCACTGAATGTGGAGTATATGTGATGTATTCTTATAATTTTTTGGCCGCCTTTTAATTCGGCCGCCAGCGCGAAAAAACTCCCGTTAAGCCTTAATTCAGCAGTTTAACAGGAGTTTATTATAGCACATTCGTTAAGTCGAATTTTGCTTAATCATTTGGAGGTTTGAGTTATCGGGAATTCACTGTATATATATATATATATATATATATATATATATATATATATATATATATATATATATATATATATATATATATATATATATATATATATATATATATATATATATATATATATATATTCACTGTATATATATATATATATATATATACATATATATATATATATATATATATATATATATATATATACCAATTTAAACTTTATACAATACTAAATATTAATTTTTTTAGCCTTTAAATCGGCAAAGTTTTTAATTATTTCGGTTATGTCTAATTGTGTTGCTATTTCATTTTCAATGGACAATATAGCTAAGTTATTCAATCGTTCGTCACTCATAGTAGATCGTAAAAAGTTTTTAAATAGCTTTTTTTTGCTAAAACTTCTCTCACCACTTGCAACAGTAATTAGTATGGTAAGCATTATTCTTAATGAAATCCAAATATTTGGAACCACATTTTGCAATCCACTGGGTTTTATAAAGTTCAAGATATTCAGAGGACGTCCAAGAATATCTTTAGGCAAAAGGGTGGATGGCGATTTTAGTTCGTCAAATCATTCAGCGCCATTAATATCGCAATTATTTTCCATTTTCAATTTCAAATGCAGATCTTTTCAAAACTTAAGTAAGTCATCGTCCGCAGGTCATTTCTTCAGGTTATATAATATTCCCCAAGTTTGGTGAAATTCATTCAGTTGTTGAAATCTTTCTTGAAGAGATGCTATGGCATTATCTAAAATAACATTAAAGACGTTGTTTTTAAAAAATTGTTCTTTGGACTTATAAAAATCTTATCCCCCCAGCCAACATATCCATATGGGCCCCATGTGGTATTTAACCTGGGCATACAGGCATGGGTTACAAGACACGGGCTCCAGATGGGTCCGCCCATTTAACTAATTTGACGGAATATTCCGTTTGAATTGATTACAGAATATTCCGTCAGGTGTGTTTATTGAAAAAAAAAGCTCATAATAATCTAAAGCGATAAAATATATTTGTATAATACTGCAACAATTTTGCAATAGCTAAATATTTACTGCGTTACAAAACTTTATCAGTTACCGAGTATTTAAGAAACTTTATTGATGAAATGAAAAGTTTTATGTGTAGGGGATTAAACTATTTAGGAAAACATTATTCAGCTAATTTAAATTCTATTATATGTAATGCATCAGCATCGATGCTCCTGCAAGAGCATATTTAAAGTGTATAAAAAGCCATGGTGGCTATTTATGCTTGTGAAAGATGCTGTCAAGAAGGTGTATATATTGGACATAAATTAACATACCCTGAAGTCATTGCAAGACTCAGAACTGATAATGATTTTTGTTTGCAGATAGATGAAGATCATTATGTACCAAATGTTGTTTCACCTTTAATTGAGTATGGTTTGGGATTAGTTACTCAGATACCATTAGACTATATGCATTTAGTTCTTTTAGTTGTACAGAAAAGAATGATAAGTTTGTAGATGAAAGGAGACTTAAAGTACCGATTTCCATCAAAGGTGGTAAATAATATATCAGCAAACTTACTAGATTTACGAAACAGTATGCCAAAATAATTCTATTGCAAACCAAGATCTTTAAGTGATTACAAACAATGGAAAGCAACAGAGTTTCGTCAGTTTTTACTTTATTCTGGGTCATTGACAATGTTTGGTATGGTACCAAAAGTAATTTATGAAAATTTAGTTTCATAAATATTTGTTAAGTCCAGATTTAGTCAGATATGTTGAATACTTAAATTATGTTGAAAAGTTATTGTGCAATTTTGTTACTAATTTTAAAGAACTTTACGGAGAAGCCCAACTAGTTTATAATGTCCATTCATTGTTACATATAGTTCAAGATGCTAAAAGATTTGGAGCATTAAATAATATTTCCCCTTTTCCTTTTGAAAATCAGTTAAGAATGCTTAAAAAAATGGTTCGTTGACCACAAAATCCGATTGCACAGATTGTATGTCGAATGGCTGAGAAGTCAAACACTTTTAACTAAAAACAAAATATTTGAAGGAACATCAAATATAAAAGCCATATTCAAAAAAAAAACATACATCAGGGCCTGTGCTACAAAGTTTGAATCAATATTACTACAAAAGAGATAATAAATTTGCGTCAACTGCACAAGGGGACAATTGTTTTGAAATATTTGGAAAACCTTCAGTGCTCTTAAATATTCTTCTTAATGAAGATAATGAAGCAATTGTTGTATATGACACATTTAAAGAATTGGAGTCATTTTTCGAATACCCTATGAAATTCACTCAGTTAGAAATATAGCTTGCTAAAAATTTGATAGGAAATTTCAAAGTATTAGCATTTTAGAGCTTGGTTGCAAATTTGTTATAATGCCTATAAAAAGAGACTTTGTATTAATTCCACTTCTTCACCAATAAAAAGCTTTTTAATAATGTTTTTGTTTTTGTTTTATGCTTGTTTGAAAAGTATTAGTATTTTATTAATAATTTAGTCATTCCATGTTAAGTAGAGTAATTTTTTTTTACAAGTGTTTTGTAATTAATGGCTAAATAAAAATAGTGGTCACTTTTTTAAACCACATTGGATATTAATTAGAAATTTTCAGGACTTATGTGCCAAGTCAATAAGTTTCAATGAGGGGAATTCGGTTGGGATGGAATGATTCTATATATGTTAAATAATAGTTGTTAAAGTTACAAAAATAAGTTAAAAAATTGTTAAATAAAAGTCTATAAATGTAAATATCGCTGATAAATTTTCATGTAGTGAACTAATCTTAGTAGTACAATAAAACAAGTTGCAAAATAAATTTTTTATACATGGTTACTTTTCACTATTTTCTGTATATTGTGATTCCATTACATATATAAGAATAGTATATATTTTTTTAAATAATTGTTATTGCATTAGCCGTATTATTTTTATCATGGTTATTGCAATTTTTGACTAAGTGCTGAAAATCCTATATCAGGCCTCGGCGGTCATAAATAAGTACGTGGAGAAAAGCTCTCCTAAAACGAACTTGGGGAGCTGTGCAAGCTGCTCCTCATTTAAATCAGCACTCTTTTTTATTTTTAATTTTTTTTTGCAACAATATTGTCTTTTAAAAAGCATTTCAGTATATTATGCAATTAATTTTTTTAAATGACATTTATTTTATTTAAAATTGTTTTTTTTATTTTATTTAGAATGATAATTATACTTTTATGAGAAAAATTATACTTTTGCAAGAGCCGTAAATAGCTCTTGTAAACCGTTTTAGGGGAGTGTGAGCGAGAGCTTTCTGCCGAGGCATGCTATATCGATAAAATATGTTCTCTATTTAGATTATGTATGCAATAGTTGAATTTAACGACTCAGTCAGTGAAATTATACCAGGTAAATGGTTATGTACAGAAGAGGAAGATAAATGTTTTTGGCCTGAGTTTTTGCCTCTTTCAAAAGTATCAAAGCTGGTTAGCCAAAAAGCAAATCCTAATCCACAAGGTAATATCTTTAGTAAAGGTGCTTTTAATTTTTAATTCAACAAAAGGAAATTCACCTACTCTTGAGCCTTTCATACAAGGGTGGGTGGATGTTAGGGGTCCGGGGGTTTAATAAAAGGAGGTGGGTGGGAATTTTTTTATATTACAATATAAGTATTTTTTATAAAAAATTTCACTTTACAAATTCAAGCTTATACTTTTTACAAAACTATTTAAATCAAGCTTGGCTTGCAGTCAAATGTGCATTTTCTAACATTTTTTATCTTAATTTGAATATGGTTTAGTATTTTGATATAAGTTTTATATTTTGGTGAGAAATAAATTAAAAGCTCATTTTAGATAAATCGAGATTTACTTAGTCTGTGATTTTTAAAGCCTGTTTACATTGAAATTTTTTGTTTTTGTTGGTGACTGAAATAACTACTTTCTAATTTTTAAGGCCAATTTTCACTGGTTTTTATTTATTTTTTAATAACAAGTAAAAATTGATAAACGAGGGGGTCTTAATAAGCATGGTGTGGGTGGAAAAATTTTCTAAAAATTAATAAATATCTCCCCCTTCCTTTTTATTAGGGACTCGAAAGTAGGAGCAGGGAAACTCAAAAGCTCAAAATCTTAGGATGTTCCTAGTGGTAGTGTCACAATAAAAATACTCAGTCATGTTTTGTAAAATAGGTTAACTTGGGAAGGGTACCCATTTGTAAAATTGATGAGGTATCTGGGAAGTGTCGATGAAGAATACTTGAAGAACAAAAATTAACTGTAGAAACTATATAGTTTCTATAGTTTATTATGTGTTCCTTTTTTAGAACTTTAGAAACCATTCCACCTCGTTAATTTTTGTTCTTTAAGTATTAATATTGTTATCTTTAACAGGTTGAATACTAACTTGATCAAGGAGGTTGTACTTTAGTGGAGGATAATGGCCGTAATAGTGCTGTAATGACAACAAACACAAATACATATGAACCGAAGTAAAAATACTCCAGAAAATTTGTAAGTAATAGTTTGTTTTATTGAAATTTGTTAATATTACTTTTTTTTATGAGTTACTATTCAAATCTAAATTATTTTGTTTGCAGAAACTGTAACGAGGAATGCACATCAGTAATCAAATGTGAGGGGCTTGGTTTTGTTCACAAGACTGAGATGACAAACGAGCCAAACGTGCTAAAGCCTTTAAAAACACAAGGCTTCACCGAGAAGTACCTTTGGATATAGAATGATGAATAATATGAAATATTTAATATATTATATATAATATATAATATAATACTTAATATATTATTAAATAATATAATATTTAATATATTATATATAATATATAATATAATATATAATATAATACAAAGCATTGTTTTGTTTTTACTACTTTTTTTTCGTATAATGTTCACTGAACAGTATGCGGAATATAAAAATATTATATAAACTTAATATACTATCTGAAATCTGGATAAATTTCAAGATTAATGGACTGTTCAGATATCTGAACAGTCCATTCAGATCATCGACCAAACTATTTAATAATAATAAAAAAAAAAAATGTCAATACAAAAATATTCATTGTATATTTCAACTATAATATGCACAACTATGGCTCGCGAAATCTAAGATTTTAAAGTATTAACTTAAGATAAAAATTTATCATCAATAACACTGTATGCAGAGACTCTCTAATTCAAGGCTGATAATAGCTTGTCAATAATTGGAACGGATGTGTGTATTTTAAACTTTTCCGAAGGCGTCAGTATCATCTGCTTGTGCATCACGATAGTCCTATTTTCTGTTTTGCCTAATTTTTCTTTTATCCTCTTGTTGATACGCATTGTTTTGATACAGAATAATACATTTTTGTTCTATTTCACTGGATTGAATTTCAGATTTTCTTAAATTATTTTCAATTTGTAAAGTTTTGCACGTTTCTTTTATTTCTGCTATTTCTTTCAGCAGTCCATCAATTCTTTCATTTGTAATTTTTAAATTACCACTAATAAGTTTGAGAATGTCTTTTTGCTGTTTCTTAAACATCTCAGAGAACATTTCACGAACTAATTTCACAGATATTTCTGAAGCTTCTGTATTTAATTGAAATTCTTTTTTATCTCTACTTTTATTTTTATCCATTTTATTAACAAGTTAAATACGAATGTTTAAAGTTAAATACCAGTTATAAACAAAAATTTTAAAAATTGACATAGTGCTGCTCAAAAAAACACCAAATATGAATGAATTATTTTTGCTGACGATACTAATGGTTTCTATTCTGATTCAAATTTAAAAAATATTTTTTGTAATGTAAACACTGAACTAACATATCTCAATGAGTGGTTTATAGCAAATAAACTTTCGTTAAATATTGAAAAAACAAAATATATTTTGTTTGCTAAACCATCTAAATCCGAGAATCTTCCACTTACACTACCAGAACTAACTATTAACAATATTAAAATAAAAAGAGTGTTTTCAATGAAAATACTTGGAATAATTTTTGACGATTATTTAAATTGGAAAAGCTTTAAAAGAGGTTGCACTTGAGTCAATATATAATTTGTCTTTGTATTCAAGTTTATTAGAACATACTGTTGCTTGGTATACTATGTTATTAGATAGACATTTGTTGCTCAATGAACAGGCAATTTATTAACGCAATTGCAAATTTGTTTTTTTTACTATATTATTATCATTGTGTAAAATATTTCTATTGTGAGAACTATTTGTAAATTTGATGTTCAGTATGCAAGAATAACTGATCTTAATTGAGATTTTATCAAATATTTTGTGCAGGTTGTGGCTGACATTTAACACCAATAAATATAAACACGACACAGCTTTTCAAAAAAATATAGGAGTTAAAGGAAAGTTATTTTGTCGCCTAAAAAATTGCACCATCTATTAAAAAATTGCACCATCGATTAAAAAATTGCACCATCTATTAAAAAATTGAACCATCTATTAAAAAATTGCACTATCTATTAAAAAATTGCACCATCTATTAAAAAATTGCACCATCTATTAAATGGAAAGTTATTAGGCGTTGCAATACAATCTGGTTTTAAAGGTTTGTCAACTTTGTTTAAATTAAAAATTTGAAATCTTGTTTTATAAAGGCACTAAATTAATTAACAAACAGGGGGAAAGGTCCCTATGTACAGACACAAAAACAAACTTATGTTGTCCTTCTGCGATACTAGTGAAATCCAAATCGTTGTTCGGTAAAATAAGGTGATAATTCTATCACAAACCAATTAGTTTTTGATCACTCAACTCTCAGTCACAATATAAAAACCGTCTTTTTGGCTATTTGTTAAAAAAAAACTTTATGTAAAATGTTAGACTCATCGTAGATTATTATTGCTATTGTTATTAGTATTATTATTATATGTGATGTTAATATTATTTACATTTTTATTACCGTCATTATTACTTATTAGTATTGTTAAAGATTTAACTGTGATATTTATAAATATTATTAACATTGATAATAATAATAATAATAATAATAATAATAATAATAATAATAATAATAATAATAATAATAATAGCAATAATAGCAATAATAGCAATAATAGCAATAATAATAATAATAATAATAATAATAATAATAATAATAATAATAATAATAACAACAACAACAAAAACTTGTATATTTTACTTAAAACAGGAGTAAGACAACTGTTGCCTATTAATCAGTTTATTAGTCTGTCAGTTAGCTAACTGAGAGACTAATAAACTGATTAATAGGCAACAGTTGTCTAACTCCTAAAATAATAATTTGTTTTTTTTACTAAAAACAGGAGTTTTTTACTAAAAACAGGCAACAGTTGTCTAACTCCTATTTTTAGTAAGAAAACAATTTATTATTATTCGTGTCTATTATTAGTTTATTATTAAAAATTACGCGTGTCTGTTATTAGTTTTTGTTATGTTGTTACGCGCGTCTGTTATTAGTTGGCTAATATTTCATTTTTCATATATTTCATATAACGCGATTTGTAGGGGGAAAAATTAAAATGGTAGCGTTTTTAATAACAGCAAAACCGCGTGAAGTCTATTTTTGTATATAGATATTTTGTTTATATAAGTTTAAAATCTTTTTCTATAAAAATAGTGACTTTGGTTTAAAGTCGTATTTTTTCGAAAAATAGAGATTGATTGAGAAGTGAAAAAAAGAATTTTCAAAAGTAAATGGTTTTTTTTTTAAATAATTTTCAGTAAAATACCATAGTAAGTAGATTTGACAATAATTATAAAAAAAAACCATTTACTTTTGAAAATTCATTTTTTCACTTCTCTATCAATCTATATTTTTCGACATAATACAGCTTTAAACTAAAGTCGATATATTATATCTCAAGTAACATCAAAATAGTCTTCAGATAAAACCTTGTACCCCATTGTAAACGAAGTAACATTTTAAAACTATTGCTCGTATAAAAAGCAGGGGAATTCCGGCCAACAGGAAAAAAACTGTAAAAATGCTTCAGAGCATAAAAATTGTTGCAGTGAAATCACTGCAAGTAATATTAATGGAATATATGTCCAAGGAATGATTAAAAAATCCTATGGTACTGATAAACGGCCTGCTGTTGTGTTATTTGAAAATATAACTCCTAAACGAGCATATTGTAGTTGTCCAATAGGCTCAAGTGGACTGTGGATTCTCTAGTGGATTGTGCTATCATATTCTAGCACTATTATTGTATTTAAATCATCATTTTGAAACTAATGAGAAAATTTTACAATTAAAGTACACACAACAACTGCAAAAATGGCACAAACGGTCTTCAAAAGGATCTACACCTATGGCTCGACTTAAAAACACAAAACCGAAATCAGCCAAATTAAAAAAAAAGTATAGTAAATTAAAAATATCTCCTGCTAATCCAAACTCAAACAGTTAACTTTGATTGTAAAAAAATAAAAGAACAGTTGAAAAATGAAAAACTGATTGAAACAACATTTATTCTGTTTTAATAAATTCAACATTTGGGACAAAGACTTCTGTTGGACAACATTTACATTACAAATATACATTAAGAACAGCTTTAGCATTAGCTGATCATCAATATTGCAAGTCACAACTGTTTGATGAAAGTGTAATAAAAGTAGTAATAAAAAAAGTGTAATAAAAGTGTAATAAAAGATGATGTAAAAAATGTGTAATAAAAAGATGTAAATGTGTAATAAAAAGATGTAAAAAAAGTGTAATAAAAGATGAAGAAAAACTAAAAAAAATAAAGTATTATGTAAATAATGACTCTAATTAAAAATGATACTAGTACAAGTGTAAATATACACCAAAATAATTCTTTTATAAATCTTATAATAAATCAGAATACTTTGAAAATGCAAGTTGAAACAACAGATCTAGTATATCAAAATTGCAAAAACATTCCACTACAAAATGAAATAAATGAGCAGCTGAAAAGTAATATTGAAAATATTAAAATATATTTAAGTTTTTTGAATTCACCAAAGCCTTATGGTAGTAATTATATGGATGTAGTGCAAGGTACCGATAAATGGTATGAGTGCAGAAGTTTAAAGAGAAGATATGTTTAAAATTACTGCCGACTACCGGTATTACTAGGGCTACATGAAAATGTAAAATATTAATTGATTTGGGAGGTCGTCAAAAATGGTTCTAGCACCCCTGATATGAGTCATATAAAATATATTCAACGTGGTATCTTATATGAAAACATAGCAATAAAAAACTTTAAAAACATTAGTAAATGCAAGATTGAAAAATATGGATTCTTTGATCACCCTTTTGATAAAAAATATAGATGAAGCCCTGAAGATGTAAGTCCTTGCGGAATTTTATAGAAGTAAAAACTCGTGCACAATTTACTGATAGGCCTTTAACATCTCTTAGTAATTATCAACAATATTATGTTCAATGTCAACTTCAAATGCTATGCACAGTTGCAAAATATTGCGTTTTACAGTTGTATCACCCTGAAACAGAATCCTCAAATTTTTTTCTAGTTTGTCGTAACTATACAGTAATGTAAATTATCAAAGAGGTCATAGATTGTATCTACCTCAATGATAAGATATTAAAATGGGATCATATGGAAATCAAAGAGTTAAATAATTTTTCAAAACCAAGTTCCAGATTTTTTTACCCAAAAACCATTGCGAACAGTTATTAAAGCAATCGCTAAGAAAGCACCTTTTATTCTTTTTGTTAATGAATTTGATTTTAATATTTTATAATAATACTTAAAGTTGCTCAATATTATTAACTAAGTATCTTAGTAATTATTTTTTGTCGGGAATCAATTTTAATTTCAACAGTTTAAATTTTCTTTATTAACACCTCTCAAAAAATTCAACTATGGATTTTAAGAGAAAAAAACTAAACAATATAATGAAAGCAATTTTTTTTTAATACTATTCTTTTGGTCCTATGGGAAACATTGTTAAATTGACAATGTGTGCTAACATTTGCCATGTCGAAGATAACCAACCCATTCTATTTATGGGCCACACAGTGTTCATAATTCCCCAATACCGTATTCTTCCAATGTACCTTTCAATGCGAATACGAGTTGAAGCTATGTCAAAGATATGGGCTACATCTACTTGAGAAAATTGATGAGAATCTTTTTATTTTGCATGATTTAATGTTATACCCTTCATTGCGCAAAACTTTTGTATAGAAAAACCTTTGTCAATCTCATGATCTTTTTGTATAGAAAAACCTTTGTCAATCTCATGATCTTTCTCTACAAATAGAATAGTATCGGATTTTTCTGTTATATCTGAATCCGTGATAGAGCCTGGATATATATCAGTAAATAATATACCACCACCATGTGGTTCTATTCCGATTAAAGCTTTTCATGTTTGAGTGTTCTTATAATTTAAAAACATCAAAAAATTTCAAAGTTTGATGCACTTTGGAATTTAAACTCTGTTGCATCAATAATTAAATCAGTGAGACCATGTCCATTTCAATAAAACTTTTTGGCATCTTTTTTACTAAAAAACCAGAATCTGTTGTAAGAACAGATAACAGTTCAGTTGGTAAATTGATTGATCTTCGAATAGTGTTATTCTTATAGTCAGGATATGGAATTAAGTGAGTATATGGTTCAACAGAATTTAAAAGTAAACTAAACTGTTCAACTAAGAGTCCACATAAGTAATTAAAAACAATTGGCTAGTTAAGTAATTTAGAATATCTAAAATTATTTTTATGTGTATTGTAGATTTTATTTTGTGCTTGAAGCAGCTCAATTTAATTTTTTGCGTCTCTTAATTTTTTTTTGAAGATTTGATATCTTGAGTAGTGCTGAACTTAACTGTTTCTTATATTTCTTTTGCGAAGGCTCTTTTTTTATTGATGAGCAAGACAGAATGGTATTAATTTTAACAGGATTACTTTTGCTTAAATATTATTTAAAATTTCAGTTGCCATTTTGAATTTTTGTTTTGCAACTTTTGATGCTGTCACTAGAGTTTTTATACTTTTCATATGTTTCCATGGCTATGGTATATTTTTCTACTATTTTGTTATATTGATCTTTAGGAATAACTACATCGGGTAACAATGTTTCACTTTCTCGTCCATTAATCCAATTAGCTGCAGAAATGTGACCACGATGCAAGCTGTTGTAAAAAGTTTTTTGTATTCGTTCTGTATAGCTTCTACACGTCGAAGGCGATAAAATCCTATTGATTTCCCATTTGCGTCTTTAGAAGTGAAGTTATTAAAATACATAGAAGAAGCACATGTCCATCTCACCATTTTAAAATCTAGGATAGCTAAAGCTATTAATTCAAACTTTTTTCTGAATAAAAAACACAAACAGAACAGTTTTAAGATACACTAAAAAAGTTTAAACAAAGCTACTATTTTTATTTTTTTCCCTACAAATAGACCCAGGCCTCTGACGTGAATTTGGCTCATTACTTAAAAAGTATAATGATTGTACACAAATTATTATGCGCGTGCTGCAAATTTCAAAATTGGTTACTATTATGCGCGTCGTTGCACAATTATCGGGTTCTCCCCGATTTTTTTCAAGTTTCGGGATTATTGCTCAGACGGCCGGTTCAATATTTTGTTGTTAACTTTCACATATTTTGAGATTAAGTTTCGTTTTTTAGATTGAGTGTGTTATAGAATATGTTAATACTATTATTATCTTAAAATAATGTTATTAAATAATAATTAAAAATGTCTAGAATTATTTTTCAAAATATTGTTTATAAAAAAGCAGAGACTCTAACGCATTTGAGCTTATAACTTAGAATTTCAGAACTGATATCTATATTATTAATAGACATATAAGTTCTGAAAATCTAAATTATAAGTTTATTAATGAATAATAATAAAGTTTATTAATAAATAATAGTCTAATAGCATTAGAGATATTAGTTCTGAAATTCTATAAATGGAGGCTTAGATTTATTTTTTTCAGAAATAAAGGTACTAAAATTCTAAGTTAAATAACCTTCAAATTTCAATCTATTTTAAAAAAATAAAAAAAAAAAAAGTATAATCTTATAAAAATTTTTCTTAAGAATTTCTCTAAACTTATTTTAAGACTTACCAGTATATAATATATGAGTCTCTCAAAATTTTATATATATATATATATATATATATATATATATATATATATATATATATATATATATATATATATATATATATATATATATATATGTATATATATATATATATATATATATATATATATATATATATATATATATATATATATATATATATATATATATATATATATATATATATATATATATATATATATATATATATATATATATATATATATATATATATATATATATATATATATATATATATATATTACACATACATATATTTGTCAAAATATTTGTCAAGTATATAAAAGTATACTTAGCAAAATTTTGAGAAACTCATATATTATATACTTTTAAGTCTTAAAAAAGTTTAAAGAAATTCTTAAGAAAAATTTTTAAATGATTAAAACTAATTAAGACTAAAATTATCTAATAATCAAAAAAAGTATTATTAAAAAAAAAAATTAGATTGTTAAAGACATGCTCAAACATGTCTAAATAATTGTGCATGTCTTTAACAATCTATATCTTGATAAATAACTCAAAATGTCTTTGCTGGCATATAAGTGATCAGCTAATGTTATTGAAAGAATAAATCTAATTTTTTTATTAATGGCACTCTTTTATTTTTATTTCTTTTTAGGTGAATTGTTTTATTACAATGATAGACAAAATCACTTGCTCAACCATGGCTATGTGAAACAAATTATATAAATTGTTCTGAGAAAACCACTTTTGAAAAGTGCTTTGTATTTATTGGTTTAGTCGCCAATGTTTTGGTGAGTCGTTTTTAATGAATATTAGTAATATAAACATTTAAGTAATAAAAATAACAAAAGTGAGAAAGTGCTTTAATGGAAGTGTACCTAGAAGATTCAAAATATTGAAACAATATATTGCCTTGTTTTGTTTCAATTAAAAATATACTTTATTGCAGATAGGAATATTGTTACAGACAAGCACACATAAAGATTTAAAGACTGACCCCCTCCCCCTCAGAAAACTAGTTGTTTCAAAACTTTCTTAAATGATTAAAGAGAAACTTTCAAATTTAAATAAAATACAAATAGTTAATAAGTTGCTCTTCAAAATTAGAAAGACTTTTCCAAATGTTGCAGAATGCAAAAGTCAGTAATTGTATCAATATATAGTCCTGAAGATGCACTAACTGGTTAAGTATGATTAAGTAATTTACATTATAACTGTTATTTATAGTTTAACTAATTCTATATTAAAAGGCTATTGGATGTTTAAAAATATAAGATTTTTTAATATCTTGAGATCTTTAGGTTCCACGCTCAGTTCCACACTCTACATCTTTTATTTTTTGAGATTTTAATTAGTTTTTGTGTCTTTAATTAACAAACACTTAATCTCTCATCTTCAATGTAATAACTTACTTTCTGATCATCAATATGGATTTCTTATCTTCTTGTTCTATAGCTGATTTGTAATAACTGATAGATTTTATTGTGAATTAGATAGAGGTGGAAAGGTAAGGCTATCACTCTTGACATCTCTAAAGCTTTTGATAAAGTTTAGCATAGCCATTGGCAAGGCTTCTCCATAAGCTTATGGTGTTTCAGGTAACATCTTTAAATTATTGAATCCTTCCTTACCATTCGTAGTATAAAAGTTGTCTTAGATGGACAGCACTCTTCTTCATATCCTGTAACTTCAGAGGTTCATCAAGGTTCTTATCTTAGCCCTATACTCTTTTTAATTTACATTATTGATTATCTGGATATTCTCACATCTAAGGTGGCATTGTTTGCTGATGATACTACCATTTATTCTTGTCATAATAAGAGGCCAACACTCTCTGATTGCTTAGAGGGAGCATTTGAGCTTGAAAAAGATCTCATTTCTGCTACAGCATGGGGTTTACAGTGGCTGGTGAACTTTAATTCAGATAAAGTTCAATTTTTTTCAGCCAATCGTTATTGCAATAATTTAGATCTTTCTGTATTTATAAAAGTAATGTATTCGATTAGCTATCTATCCTTCATCTTTTAGGATTAACTCTTACTTCCAATCTTTCTTGAAAACCATATATCAAATCTGTTGCAAAATTAGCATCCCCTAAAGTTGCATCTCTTTATCGAGCTCAACACTGAATATATATATATATATATATATATATATATATATATATATATATATATATATATATATATATATATATATATATATATAAATTAGTAGAAAATCACTTAACAAAATTTTTTTTTTTTGATGGATGGACCAATTCAGTATAAAATTGGTCCATCATTAAAACAGCGCCTGCATGCAACAATATTTCCAAAAAATACATACTATGTCTACAAGAAAAATTTCAATTAATTACACATGCAAACCCAGAGTGTTTGTTAAACAAAAAATCGGAATTGATTTTTAAATGCAGGCACGAAAATAAGTTTCTCCTAAAAAACTATAAAAATAAGTGAGCTCAAATAATAGTTACATTAAATCCCCCTTTTTTTAAAAAATATTTTTATTAAAAAAAAAAAAAAACATAAGTAATTATTTCTAAAGAATTCTTTTTATAATGGTGTCAGCGAATTCCACAAATGTGTGATTTGCAGTAGTTAAAACATTTGCGACTTCCTGTAATTAAATTTTTTTGGTATAAATTGAAGTTTTATTAATTTTATCATTCATTTCTGATGAGTCTTTGTTGATGAAAAATGAACAAGTGTAAAATGAAAATAAATTTTTGTTAAGTGATTTTCTACTAATTTATAATTGCTCTTTTCTTTTAAGAATATTGAGCAATCTATTTTGTAGAATATATATATATATATATATATATATATATATATATATATATATATATATTATATATATATATATATATATATATATATATATATATATATATATAGTGTATTTATATAAGTATTAGCTCACTTTTTTTGCTTATTTTAATCCATACGGCTTTTTTAGAAAAAGAAGAAAACGAAGAATAATGAATGAAAAGATTGCTGCCCCATCCCAAACCCTCAGTCGATGTAGCAGCATTCCACTGTGAGTCAGTCTATTTGTCAGTCGATGTATGTACTGAAGCCCCGGCAGCAGGCTATTTCAGTATAACCTCAGATTGCTTACCTTAGTATGCAATACAATTAAATATATACATATATATATATATATGTATATATATATATATATATATATATATATATATATATATATATATATATATATATATATATATGTATATATATATATATATATATATGAAGACCACACGGGTAAAACCACAGATGTCCACTTTTTGAAAATTTCAAGTTTTATATATTTTTATGATATTTTAGTATTAACCTATTTTAATTTAAAAATTCATAACAAAAAAACTATGTTTTAAGGTTCTATGGTCATTTAAAAAAAAGGGCAACTTTGAAACAACCACTGTTGTCCAATGTTTACCGCGTAAAAAACAAGTTATTTTTAACTAAACCAATGATAATAAAAGCGTAAGTCACATGACTAACTTTTCGGATGAAGTAAACAACATTACGTTCACAGAAAAACATTTAAAAAAACATTTTGATTTTTTTAAATGTTTTTCTGTGAACGTGAATCGAATTTTTTTTATTAAAAGAGGGGGAGGGGGCGGTGGCTTTATTATCCCATCACACACTTAGTACGTTGTAGTTGTAAATTACAATGTGTTACCATCTACCTTAAAAAAAAATATGTGCTCTAAAAGGTTACAATCTAACGTAATTTACAAGTTGATGAGTTTACAACGGAAAAACAACAGATGTCCAAAATGAGTGTCTTGTTTTCAAAAGAACATTGTGAATAAATAATACTTGTATTTAGCACAAAAACTGTGTTTTTATATTGTATAAGGACTAAAATGTCAGAAAAATATACTTTTAATTAAATAAATTATTAATAAACAGATATCTAAAGTCACTAAACACTAAATTTCATTTTTCTCGAAATGAGAAAAATGTGACATCTGTGGTTTTACCCGTGTGGTCTTCATATATATATATATATACATATATATATATATGTATGTATATATATATATATATATATATATATATATATATATATATATATATATATATATATATATATATATATATATATATATATATATATATATATATGTATATATATATATATATATATATATATATATATATATATATATATATATATATATATTAATTCACTTCCCCACATATATGTTAATGCACTTCCCCAGTACAGAGAAAGCCGCTACAGACAAGGAGGCTAATTATTTTTGGTTATAATCCTCTCTCAACTCCAAAACATGATCCTTGTCAAACAAAGCCACTGTGGAGAAACAAGTTGAGCACAGTACTGCCAGGGATGTGGCGGGGATCAAACTCGGAAACTCTTGCTTATGAAGCGAGCGCTTTACCACTACACCACTGCCACATTTTCATTTATGATAACCAAGAAGATAATTGTTCCATTTTCACCAATTTACTAATTATTTATGATTTTAGCAGTTGAGAAATATGGATTTTATTAATGATGAAGTAGATTTTGATGAAAATTATGAGGATATGTCAGATGACTATCAAATTGTCCCTAAAGATTATTCATATAAACATTTTCTTGATTCAAAAAAAAAAAATACTGTAGAAATTGACAAGCATGCAATAAACATTTTAAATTTTTATAATGAATGTTTTCAAAAAGGAAACTTTTGTGACATAACAATCAAAACTAATAGCAGATCATTTAATGCTCATCGAGTTGTGTTAGCCATGTTCTCTGATTACTTTCGTGCTTACTTACAACACGATGGCAAAGATAAAGATGTTATTACATTAATGGATGTTAATGGAGATATTTTTTATCAAATACTTTTGTATGCATACACTGGCCATGTAGAAAGGCATGATGACACAATTGAGGAGTTAGTTATATGTGCAGATTATTTAGGAGTTAAACCACTAAAAGATATATGCGAAAATATTCTTATGGAATTAGTTAGTTCAAATAACTGCTTTCACTATTGGCAGTTTAGTGATATTTACACAATGAAGTCATTGTTTGAAGTTTGTTTAGAATATTTTCGAAGGAACTTTATTACTTTAACAAAACATGAAGGGTTCTTTAAACTATCATCAAAATATTTAATGCTAATTTTAGAAGATTGTGAACTAAGATTATATAATTCTGTTAATGATGTTGATCCTATATGTTCCAAACAGAGGGAAGAGATTTTATTAAAAGCGATTTTAAAATACATAGGCAATAGTTTAAGTAAGAACAATAATGAACTGACAGAAGAGTTGTTAAAATTGATAGAGTCAGTTAAACTTCCAGAAATAGACTTAGTATTTCTTGAAAAACAAGTGGAAAAGCATTCTTTAAAAAAATATCCTGCAATTAATAATTTGTTGAATAGTGCTATGATGTTTAAATCTAGAAAAAATGAAACTGAGTTATTGTTTCCAAAAAGTTGGTATACTCAGCGCTTGCTTTCATTCTGCAAATTTTATTCAGGAAGGAAATATGCTGCTGTTTATATGATTGGCAGAGAAGATTACAATATATGTTGTCCTTTAAATTTTACAAACATTCATAGAAAATTGATTTGTATTAAACTTTTTTTTCGAAGATGGGATGGAAGGTTAGTAGTGGGTGGCATTGAACTTCAATTTAATGATGGTTTTGTAGTTGGTGGTGGAGAAAAACAGTTAAATAGGTTTGATTTTTTTAAAATTTTTAATAAGTGAGATAATTTCTTTTTTTAAAACTTTATTTTTTGCAAAAATTATTTAACAGTAATTAGAAAAAATTTTAGTGTAGAGTTTCATGAGATTTATCTTAAACCTGACGAAGTTATTACCAAAGTCACAATAAGTTCTGGTTGGTTAATTGATCGTCTAATGTTTACGACTAACATTGGAAACACTTATGGACCTTATGGAGGTGATGGAGGTAGAACAGCAGTGGAAGAAGAGAGTGGATGCTTTTTGTATTCCATTAGTTTTTCTTCAGTTCGTACTCAAGCACTTTTGGCTCCTATTGAGTTACAATTACACTGGATAAAACTTGTTTGAGTTACTTAATTTTTTTTTAACATTTAAAGATTTTATAAAAATAATTTTAAGAAAATAAGTTTTAAAGCACAGCATTATTTTATGATCATTATTTTATGTAATTTATGTTATACTTTTTGTGAATCCTTTTTTAGATGCCTATACATTAATTAAAATTATTAGATTATTTCACATTGTTTAAAATCTAATTTTGAAAAAAGTTATTAGATTACATAATGTATGTTTTTATAATACGATAGCGATAATCGAATATATTCGATTACGCTATAATATATGTTGTTACATCACGGTTATGATAATGACATGGATAATGATGATTTAAAAAAATCGCAATTCTCCTAGGTGGAAATTGCATTAAGACCTTTATAAATATTATCTATAATTTGATCTACATTTAATTATCTATAATTTAATCTACATTTTGTATTATGTCGATTATTTTTTCTATTATTGTAACAAATATATATTTCTATTATGTTGGTTTCCAATCTCTTATTTTTAACTTAAAGATTTTATATTTGAGTTATCTTTACTTATATATTTTGCTTTTATACATTATGTGTATTGATTATCAATCCCACATTTACTGTGTGTACTTTTTCATATTATGTGCATCGATCCCGTTTTTATTGCAGGGTAACCTAGGCAAAGTAAGACACCTTTCGGGAGATAGTTCATAACTCGATAAGAATTACGCTTTACAACAGAAACTTTTGCAATCTCATTATATGTCTAATGATCTTGTAAAGATTTGAGGCATAGTTGTTCCAATAGTACAAATTTCTTTTCAAAATGTCTATTGCTGTCTCGCTTCCCCAAAATCTAGGGAAAAGTGAGACGGAATTTATTTAGAGAAAAAAAAAAAAAAAAAATCAGTTTTCAAAAAAATTAGCGAATATTTTGATCTGAGCAAATATAAAAAATTAAAATCAAAAACACAAATATATGACAATCGAAATATTTGAATCTTAAATAAACCTTTTTAGATATTATTCTTGTTTATAAGAAATTAATATGTAAATTTTAAGTGAATCTAAAATCTTAACTTAATAGTAGTTTACGTATTAGTTTCTTAGAAACTTTTGTTAAAAAGTTCAAGTGTATTGCTGTTGAATTTAAAACTGTAGAAGATTTAAAGACATATGCTGAAACTGCTGTTCATTTAAAACTATAGAAGATTTAAAGACATGCTGAAACTGCTATTCATTTAAAACTATAGATTTAAAGACATATGCTGAAACTGCTGTTCATTCTACAGTCTTTTTCACTTGATTAAAATTTCTCTTAGAATTCTCTACAAATTTTGCGTTTACAGAAATTAACTTTTTATGAATATTTTATTTTTATAATTTACCTATTAAATATTAAATATATTTATTAGTTTTTATATATTATTTAATTTTTTCATAGTTATTTAAACTTGAAATAAGTCACTAAATAAAACCAAAATTGTGTTCTTTTAAAGTTTTTAATACCATTACTTTTACATGTAATTATTAAGTTTAATTCTTTATAAAATAATTGGCTTGCTTAGAAAGATTTTTACGTAATTTAACTCAATTCACTTTTTCACGATTTTTTTCAATAACGAGTGTAGTCGTACTACACTAATTCTAAAAGCAAAAAAAATTCTAAAAGTTTATTTCTTGGATATCTTCGATACAAATTAACCTAACAGAAGAATGACAGCTGAAAGACAAATAAATGATTAAAAAAGCATTATGTTATCTTCAGTGGTAAAAAAAAATCAAAAAATTATTTTTTTATTTTGATGTTATTATCAAACTAAGATAACTCGTAAACTTTAACTCTTGTTTTTCTTATTTCAAGAACAAATAGATAAAAATTACTTTAAAGCATGAAAAAAACATGAAATTTATAGAATAAAAAAACTTAACCACTACAAAAAATTCTATAAAAGTAGAAAACCTAATTGTCTCGCATTGCCCCGTGTCTTGCTTAGTCTCAGTTTACCATATGTACTTTTTATAATATGTGTATATAGTGTGTATTGATTATCAACCACAAATTTACTGTATGTACATTTATAAAATGTGTGTATTGATTATCAATTTCATATTAAGGTAATTTATTAATTTGCACATAGAGTAGATATATTTCTTAAGGCTGAATTATTTTTGTGAGAAATGTATCGACCCTAATTTTGCCAACAAGATTTTGCAAAAAATGATATTAATAAAAGCCCTGATTAAATTTAACCTAACTCTAATCCTAGTCAAACTTGTTAAACAAACAATCCTAAGGGGTACGTCAAACAATATAAGGTTACGTTCATTTAAAAAAATGTCAAAAGTTATTTTTTATAAGAGTTCAAAATTTGTTGATAAACTTTAATTTAGTTATAAAAATTTTTTAAATCTTTTTTTACCCTTAACTAAGGAAAGGAGTTGCTTAGGTTGCTGTTAGGTTCAAAAAAGGATTGCAGTTGCAATGCTATTTTTCAATCCTACGTTTTTTCAAAACCTACAGCTCCAGCATCCCAAGATTATAACAAAATATAATTAATCTACATAATGTTAATTACAATAAAAATATACATTTAACAAAAATATATTTATTAAGACGTTGCTGGAAAAAGCATTTAAGAATTATTTTAAGAATAAAGTAATACATTATATTATGCATAACTCGTCCAAAAATTCATTTCCGAGTTTTTGTACTGAATTGCTCAGCAGAAGAAAGTATCCGCTCAGTTTTAACTTTTTTCATTTTCGCGGTCATTAAAAACAAATAACTGCTTTATAAATAGTTACCATGTGCTCCGCTATTTTCAAATAGTGTTCTTTTTTTTTGTATTTTTGATAATGTCTTTTATCTAGCTGGTTCCATCTGTGTTCCTCCTTAATACTTAAGGGATTATTTAATGTCTCGGATACCACATTTCAGGTTTCTACCAGTTGAGTTTATCAAAATCAACTGACACTCGTAACTGATGCTCATCTGATACAGGTGTTTGCTTCTCTCTCTCTTTGCATTTTTCAAATTTAGAAAAAAATTTATTGTTTATTATCCATCTGTGTACCATAAAATTTGTTGCTACAGATTTTGGTAAAAACATTTTTCGAAACTGTGACGGTACGGTTTCGGTCAAAAAGTTATCTTTTGGTAATGTTTCAGTAGTTTCGAAAAAAACTTCATTAATTACTTGAACGGTTTCATGAAAATATAATTTGCCAGGTGAAAAACAAAAATTGCTCAAGGGTTTGAAACTTTTTCAGTACAGCTAAAGTAAAAATATTGTGAAGATATTTGATACAGTTTCAACCAATATTATTTAAACAAAAATGTATTTTGATAAAATTAATTTTGAAGTGCGCAAAAAATTATTGATGAACATCAGGTCAAGTTATCCTGCTACAGGTAACATGTAACCCAGTACAGCCTGCTTCATGACCTGCTGCCTTGTAGGCAGCGTTTTTTTAGGCGAAGGCTAGAAGAAGCCAGCTCCAACTTAAAATACCCCCTACCTTAGGACTCTAGGTTGAGTAAAGGCTAGAAATGGTGACTCAATAAAAAACTCTTTTTAGGCAGACGTTAAATGAATCCAGCTACTGTCTTGTAGAAGGTCTTCTAGGCAAATAATGTTGACCGGCCTCGCACCCCTTCTTCATTTATTAAGCTAGCGTAGATGTATTTATTACACATTATTTCCAGTATATGATGCTGAACGCTGGATCTTCTTGACTCAGTGCGTGGGTTTGGCTTGTGTCTCTGCTTTTATGACTAGGCAACTTATTTTATTATCTTGTAATGAAGGTACAGCTGTAAAACTCAGTTTTATGGTTCTGAGGTTGGCCGGTAGTCAGGTTTTCCAAAATCTGAGTTAGCTCTTAGAGAGGCTAACTCCATCAACTGCCGCAAATTGTCAGAGTAATAACTAATCTATGTTGCGTATGAATGGTGACCCTTGTTCTCACTTTTGGTGTGCATTGTCGAGGTTCTTTGTTACAGCGAGATGTTGAGGGTTTATTAATAGTAATAAAGCAATAGTCTGGACTATTAAATAGTGTACTGAGTACTATCTTTGCTCTAAGTCAAGTTCTTTAACAAATTTAAAATTGACTAAAGTACTAAAAAAATAAAACACAAAAAAAGCATCGTCGTCACCAAGTTCTCTAAATCTATCATTAACTAATATTCGTGGTCTTCGAAGTAACTTTTCTTCTGTTGAGTCTTATCTTTTGCATAGTTCTCCAGACCTATTGCTCTTTGTTTTTTTTTTTTAATTTTTATTTTTTTTTATTTTTGTTCTTTATTACATTTTAAACAACATTCCGTTATAAATATACAAATTAAAAAATAAAATATAGAAGTTACAAGAAAATAACAAAAAAGAAAAATCGTAAATAAGAAATAAAAGAACGCGGGGACTCGTAGAAGACCGTATGGTCTTGTCGTCGAGAACCGCTAAAATGAATGTGATACAAACAAATTAAAAATATTCAAAAAACCCGTTATAAATATAAAGGTCAGTTATATAAATACTATATAAGTTAATAAACATATAAATTGTCGTATATATTGATACATATTCTTGGTAAATATATAAATTATAAAATAATAATAGTTCTTTGATAAGTGGAGGTAAAATGGGAAAACTATTTAAAATTATTAAAAGTAAATTGATAGATCGTCAATTGTAAAAGTTAATTCTTTTAACTTTCGTTTAAAAGAGTTGTAGTTACATTGTTGGATAAAATCTTGAGAAAAGTTTTTTAAGACAATTTTGTTCCATAAGAATGGTCCGCGAGAAGTAATGCAGAATTTGCTCAAGTTAGTTTGAAAAAATGGCTGCTTAATAAAATTGTTATTGCGTAATAAGTATTTATTTTTATCTTTTAACATATACAAATCATGGAAAGAAATTGGTGAAGAATAAGTTTTACATTTGAACATAAAACAAAGAGTATTATAAACATTGAGTTGATATACATTTAAGGCGTTCATTTTTTTAAATAGAGGCTTTGCATGAGTAAGACGTTCACTAAAATGTATCAAACGTGCTGCATGCTTCTGATGACAATAAAGAGGTTCAAGTTTGCTTTTATTGGTGCAAGCCCATGCAATGTTTGCATAATTTATATGGCTATGAATAAAAGAGAAATATAATTGAGTTAAAATTTTTTTATTTAAAAAGTTTCTTGCTTTATATAAAATTCCTAAACTTTTTGAAGTTTTGTTATATAAATTTTCAATATGATTTTTCCACGAAAGATTATCATCAATATAAACACCTAAGAATTTTGTAACGTTTAATTATTTCGATGTTATCAATAAAAAGGGATGGCATTTCATAAGGCAGTAATTTTTTCTTAGAGGGCGGGTGAAAGAGAGTCCAGTTTGTTTTTTGAATATTAAGCGATATATTATTTAATTTAAACCAGTAAGAAATCTTGTTTAATTCTTCATTCATAAATTGAAACAGAGTAGTGATGTTAGTATGAGATAAGAATAAGTTTGT